CTTAAAGTATTTGTTGAAGGATTCTGGAATGAATGTATTCAAAGACACAATTATCAGCAACCAATAGTTTTCGATCTAATGGAAACTGATGGAGCAGTTTTAATTAAAGAAATTAATGATTTTATGAGCATACCAAATCCATTAATCCATTCATTAAAAATATATTTTCTAAGAATTTTACGTAATCGGCACAATCTTCCACTCAATGACGTAAAACAATTTTGTAATAGACAAAATAGAACACTTCCATGGCTTGCAAGTATTGCATGGGAAGACAATTCTCAAAATAGACTTTCATTTAATCCTTACTGGGCCTTAGATATGTATGCAGAAGCTGATAAAGGATTTTCTAGTTTATACTCACTTAAAAATAAAGCACCAATTAAGATCTTCCTACAATCTGTACAAAAAAACGAATCAATGGGACATAGAATTGCATTTGGTGGAGTAGTTGTACAACGTATACATTTAGTCCATGCATCAAATGAATGGTCTCTTGATTATGATAATGCCAGTAAAGATCTTAGAACTGAAATTAATGGAATGGCTTTTGTTGATATAAAATCATTACAAATACGTAATATTTGAAGTGAAGGCAATGGTTGACCTTTCAAAACTTTTGCTCCAAATGATAAAATTTTTGTAACATCACGTTGCCACTGTTCAAACATATATGAATTGTATGTTAAATTTCGTGATTCACTAATATTCTGTAACATTATTCCTGCAATCTCTCTAACTAGGGAATGTTCAAAAGATTCTGAATTATTACAAGCTGTTATCTTACTAATAACCATTGGACATATTTGAGTTAATTGAAATTCAGCTAAAACAGTATTTGAATTTCTCCACCAATATGCATGTAAGAATACTGGATCTAAAAATTTTTCTTCTCCCATAAGTCTTTGAAGTAAAAATGATAAAACTTTTGGATTTCTGTTACCAGCAGAATCATTAGATGAAACCACTGCAACAAAATCATTAAAGTACAGATCCGCAAATAAATTCAGTGATGGTTTTTTGAATGATGGTATAGAATTTATAACAGTAGTTGAAAATCCTTTTGTATAATCATTAAAGAAATGTTGGTAAAGTTCACCAGTTTGTTCATCAATATTTCCCTCGTTTTCCTTATGCTGATTTATTTCATCTTCAAATAGCCGTTTAAATGAATCAATTCTTTTCATAAAATAAAGTGAAAATGGGAATTCAAGGTCATAATTATTGGCAGGCATAGTATATACATCTGGTTTAGGATCTGGTATATCTTCTGTGTTTACAATTTTTGGATCCATAAAACACTCTATCCAGAATTCAAGTAATTTATGAGATTGTTCTACTTCTTCTATTTTTCGTGGTCTATCAATCAAAAGCAAGGTTCTGGTTGCTGATAACCTTTCAATTGCACATAAAAGCTTTGCAATTGGTTTTCGAATAAAGATACGTAAATATGCTTGTAATGCGCCTGAAAATGAAGAATATGGGTATAAAAGTTTTTTGTCTGATGCAACTTTATTTTGCCAATTTGGTTCAGAACTTGTTTCCAACCATTCTTGTGTTCTGTCTTTTAAACATGTGATCAGATTTTTATTATTTGGAATCTGTGTAATCAGAACCCTAGAATAAACACACATTATTATTTAAAAAATCAATTACTAAAATAAATATATTGCTATTATAATTTTTAAATAAATAAATAAATAAATAAATATATACACACCTAATATGATCCAATGATTTTTGTGAATGTGGATATTTCATGCATGATAAACACCATAACAATTCTTGTTTCAGGATATCTTCAAATGGATACGTAGTATTGATAATATCAGCCATAGATTTTTCCAAAAGGCTGGATAAAGGTTTATCTTGGACTTGTAATGTTTCAATGGTAATTTGCTCCCATCCACACATGAAATTAAATGAAACAAAAGGTGTTTCTTGTTCACGGTGAATATGTAAAATTATGCATGCATGTTTCATTGGAATTTTTTTATTGCTATTGCGTCTTTTAATTAAAAATTCTCCACGTAATTGTTCAATAACAAATTTAGCTAATTTAATACATCCCACATTGACAGTTGTTATATCGCATTGAAGAATTAACATTTGTTTATCAGATTCCTGCCAAAAATGTTTGATTCTATTTTGAAATTGTGTTTCAGATTTAAATGTTGAAAGTTTATCTACTTGACAACTGATCTTATTTGTCAGACAAGCTTCTATATCAGTATTAATGTTTGAAAATGTATTAACAATAACTTGTTTTCCTTCTGCTTCTGGCGTATATGGATCATTTTGTTTCAATAATGCATTACAATAGTCAAAAAGACTATCAT